TGAGCGCAGTGAACGCAGCGTAGCGCAGAACGCGCGCCTTTCATTGGCCGGCAACTAGGAACTCGATATCTGAGACCAATCAGCATCTGTGCGCGCTGCGCTACGCCGCGCCCGTCGACGTTACGTTGGAGTATAAACGCACCTTAAAAGGACGAATGAAGAGGTTGAAGCAGGCACTGTAGCTCAGCTTAGTGAAGTTTCAATCAGAATCGGCTATCTCTGCAAACAGGTTTTGGACGATTTAGGATTTTTATCTGCGTTCTACGATAATACAATATGGGGGCAAGATGTATGTTCAAAAAGAAGGGGTGTGCATAGGTTCGTCCGTGGCACCAATGCTGGCGGAGATCTATTTGAATTCGTTGAACTCCGCCGTGGTTAATCGTCTCAAAGGAATACCCTTGGAGAGCTATGTGGTAAAGCGGTATGCCGATGACATTGTGGTGTGTTCCTTTCGGAACGGAGTAGCGGAAATGGTGGAAGGTTTGATAAGGAAGTCAGCTCCTGAATTGCGTTTCCCCGTGGAGCAACCGAAGAAAGATGGATTTTAATTTTTGGACTTGCGGATTCATGCAGGGGAAGGTTTGTGTTGGGAGTATGGGATAAATAACCCGAAATCTGTTCTTTTATGAGCAAGTTGTCATTGAAAAACTGTGAAAGCAGGAGTTGTAAGGTCACTGATAAACAACGCATTGAACAGGTCTTGCATTCATTATCTAGCAAACTCAAAGAAAGGGCAGTTTGAAAGACTATGCAGCGCAGGGTACGAGGAAGGCTACATCAACAGGAAAGTGGCTCTAATGTCAAGAGAAAGGGTAGGAGATGACAAAAAGACCGAAGAAAATGTACGCAGCTATGCCCTATTTTCATGAGATATTGCCGCGCGCCAAGTAGGCAGCGTAGCCGTAGCCTAAAGCCTGGTTCACATGCAGTGGTTTTGGCCCCAGAGCGGCGCGATTTCTGCCGTCGCGGCGCTCTGGCCAGCACCAGTGGTTGAGCGGCACGAGCTCCGCGACGGCAGAAATCGCGCCGCTTTAGGGCCAAAATCGCTGCATGTGAAACACGCTTAAGGGTTATCGCGCTTGCCTCCCACACGAAAGTCCAGGGTTCGATTCCTGGCCGCGGCTACACATTCTTGTTGACACTGTAATGTGATGTTCTGGTGACTTCGAGAACCGTCTAGCTGATTCGAGGTTAGAATGTTTTACGCGTCGAACCTTCTACGTCGAATGCTCCAGAAGCCAACGCGTGTACAAAAACGGCTCCGCGTGGCAAGCGGGAGTCAGTTTCGCCCCAGCGTTCGACTCTGCTGTCACGCCGACTTCGACGCCCGCGACGCTCTGTTATTATCTTCTGTACCCTTTTATTTTTGGGCACAAGTTCGCCCCATTAAACGTTTAGTTTCTTCAATCTTTATCGCCTCGTCAATTGTCATTCGTGACATTTTGGTGGAGGTGCGGGGTACCGCATGCCCGTGCAGCGTTCCCCTCCAAGGGCCCGCAGTGCAAGTCCGAGTCCCGGCTCGGTGAGAAGACCACTCATCGCGGAACCTGAAACTCGGACCAGCCGCCGCACCAAGGGAGAGGATCCTGAGCACGGTTTGCTGCTGGACAAGCCCGAACCGAAGAAGACGACGATGGCCAGCCAGTCACAAGCCCCCGCCGCTTCTCCCGTCATCTTCATGCATGTCCCACCGCTAACGGCTGCCCCCTTCCACGGTGAACTCTACGAAGACGTCGAGGATAGGATTGACCAGTACAAACGTGTCGCCCGCCACAATGGCTGGACTGACGAGCAGCGTCTGCAAAACGCGTATTTTTCGCTTGAAGGGACTGCCAGGTACTGGTACGAAAATCACGAGCCTTCTTTGACATCGTGGGATGTTTTCAAAAGCCAACTGAAGGCAACATTTCTCAACCAACACCGCCGAGAGAGAGCCGAAGACCCACTTCAAACCCGAACCCAGGGCCCCAACGAGAGCGTCACCGGCTTCGTGGAGGACGTTCTGCGCCTGAGCGCCCGCGCCGACCCTCACGCTACGGAAGAAGAGAAGGTTCGAATCCTCATGAGGGGCGTGAGAGACAACATCTTCGGCGGCCTTGTTCGTAGCCCTCCGACAACAGTCGACGATTTTGTCACTGAGGCGACGAACATCGAGCGTGCCCTGCAAGCCCGAGCCAGCCACTACCATCGACCACCCGGCCTCGATGCCCTCGCGCCGTCTAGCTGCGAGCTTGCCTCCAGTATCCCGGGCATCCGCGAGGTCATTCGAGACGTTGTCCGGGAGAAGCTTCGGAAGCTGCTGCCTGCTGCCAACCAGCCAGTTTCGCTCTCAATAGCCGAACTGGTGCGCGAAGAAGTTCAGCGGGCAATTCAACCGGAGGCTCCTGCCAGCGTAGCTGCACCCGAGGAGCCCACCCTGACCTACGCCGCAGTGGCCCGACGGCCACCGCCTCCTCCTCAAGCCTATGTTGCGCCGCCCCGACGTCAGTCTCCTGCGCCGCAGCACGACTGACGCCGCGACGACCAGCTCCAGTACGCCAGCCAGGAGCCCCGTGCACCCCGGAAGACCGATGTGTGGCGAACGCCCGACCGACGCCCTCTGTGCTTCCACTGCGGGGAAGCAGACCACACCTTCCGCCCGATGCCCATACCGTCGACTAGGCCTGAGCGGGTTCCACCCGAACGACCCGCGACCCCGTTATAGTGAACGCCCTCGGGAAATCGACGAGTACCTGCGACGACCTCAATCCCCCGAGCCTGCGTCCCGCCGAGAGTTCCGGTCGCCTTCGCCACGACGTCCAGCTTCGCCGATGCACCGACCCCGACGTGAAAGCCTGTCGCCCTCCGCTCCATGCCGGGAAAACTAGGCGCGGCAACCCCTGGAGGTGGAGTTGCCGAAGACGACCGACGCCAAGATCCTCCACGAACGTCGGAGGGCCCCCATTCGAACGCTACCAGAGACCGAAACGACGCCCCTGCAGTGGTGTCCAATAACCTAAACGTCGTCATTGACGGCCACGACGCATCAGCACTCGTGGACACCGGAGCAGACTACTCGGTCTTGAGTGGGAGGCCCTCCCGCTGCCTTCGAAAAGTCACCACGCCGTGGGATGGACCACAAATACGAACCGCCGGAGGGCACCTCATCACACCAGTCGGGAGATGCACTGCTCGCGTCAAGATCCACGGTGAGACGTGCCCTGTGAAGTTCGTCGTTCTGCAAGACTGTTCGAGGGACGTTATCCTCGGAATGGAATTTCTCTGCGAGTATGGCGCCGTCATCGACCTCGGGGCAAACCAGCTGTTGCTGCGAAAGCCTGTTTTACCGCCGGTGGAGACCAACACGACATCAATCGCGATCCGAGTTATCGCCGACCATGTGAACTTACCGCCGCGGTCGAGTGTTTTCGTCACCGTCATAACCGACGCAGCCATGCACGGTGAAGCTTTTTTGGAAGGCAGCGTCCAATTGCTCCTTGAGAAAGGAATTGGCGTCGCACGAGGCGTAACCGATCTCCAAGAAGGACGTACAACTGTTCTTGTGACAAACTTCCGAGAGGAGCCGCAGCACCTAACTAAGGTGCTGCGGCTGCTCCTTTTGTATAGAATAATAACTCTCATCACATGGGTCATTCTTTAAACGTAAAAATATGCGGCTCAAAAGGAAATTACAACATATAATAAAGGTTTAACCACCAAGATCTGAGCTGTCAATCAAACTCTTAGCCAATGAGAAGTATAGCAGCCAATGGGTGCTAAACGTCACGGAACACCAACTTTGTGGCGGGAGATTTAAAACGGACGAAATAGCCGCAAACTAAAATCAGTCTCACGCAATAAATATTGTTGTATTTTTTTTTCTCGCGGGAAAATTGTTTTCTGACATGCTTGTCCAAATTGGCTGTTTAAAAGAAAAGCTTTTTTTTTTCTTTGCAGTTACCCTTTAAGGAGAGGGGGTGGGAGGGATGACCGGATCTCTCTAGGCCCCAAGGGCAACATTTTTTTTAATAGAAAAGACGACAACATCTTTTCTCAGAAAGAGAAAAGATGTTGAAGTAATCTCAGATATTCGCTAAGCACAATATATATATGTATTGTGATCACGTCGCCCGTAGAGTCAGATCTCTCTGCAGATTCCCTCCCCCCTCCACCCCCCCCCCCCCCCCCCTTCTCCAACCGTTATATATCTGTCAATGCGCAGTTTCGCTTTCCCTGCCCTAGGACAGGACATATTGTACATGGCACATTTTTCTGTGGTCCTCTATGACTCTTATCCCATCAGTTGTGCATCATTTCTTGCTGAAAGGACATGCCAAATTTCTTGGGAACACCGTGACGTTTCTGGTTCACAGGCCCGCCATAACACGAAAGCAATGATCAGTAAGTGGTAGGGGGAGCAAGAAAGGTTCTTGCTATTCTCCTCCCCTCTTGCATAGGATACTGGTTTCACGCCGCCGTATAGGCGCTGCTGTTATACTCTATTTCACCTTATGATGTACCGCAAGAAAGGCTGCGGGCGCGAGCTCCTTGCTCTAGGGCACAACTCGGCGGCACAAGCTCTCGTGCATTAAGGGCAGCTGCCAACGTTATGAGCTCGCGCTTGTAGCCTTCGCTGCGGTACAACATAAGGTGAAACGGAGTATAGTGCGGTGCATGGAGAGACGCTTCACTTCAAGCGAGTCTTCTTACGGCGCACCCGCAATGCCCACGCGCGATGTGGGCAAGCGGGGCTTGTTGTCTGTAAGCAGCGTGTTGGTTCATAGACCAACACACTGGTTTACAGACCGACACACTGGTCTATAGACGTACACGCTGTTTGCAACAAATTCGCGTTTGCCCAGACTAACTGCGGGCACTGCGCCTGTGCAGAAACCAGAGCCGCGTGAAGTAAAGCGTCTGCTCACGCGCCGCGCCGACAGCAGCGCCACCGCACCGGTGTGACGTAATCGCCGCTCGCTGGTGTGTACTTCGAAACAAGAGAGGCCAGGAAGCTGGAATCAGCAGACAACATTGTTTTTTTAATCATTCATAGGGGCAAATATGTATCCTACACGTCGACCTTCGATCGATAGCTAGACAATACATTGATTTATTTTTACTTGGTCTTCACGCCGCCCTTGACTGCCGAACCCTTCACGGCCTCGGTGACGGCTCCGCCCTTGCTCTCAGACATCAGTGCTCCTTTAACCCCCGCGGATTCCATGATGCCACCTTTGGTTCCTCCCCCGCCAACATTGGTGACCTTGAGCATTGGCGTGGGAGCTCCCTTCACGCCACTGAGGACATCACCGCCCTTGATTTCACCGCCCTTAATTCCAACGCCCATTGGCGTCGAAGCTCCCTCCACGCCACTGAGGACATCACCGCCCTTAATTCCACCACCCTTCACATCTAAGGGAGAAGCCTTGGGGGGAGGAGGTGTCGTTGGAGGAATCCTGGGTGTCGCCTTGAGCATCACGACCCCGGACGGGTTGACCATTGCCGTGAGGTCATCGGTGGGCATGAACCAGCCAGTTTGTGCTCCCGGGTTGAAAAGATCGAGCACGTCGTAGCCGTTGCGGTAGACGAGTGAGAGGCTGGCCAACTTTATTGTGACGTTCACGGGGCCTCCCAGGTTTCTGCGGTTGAAGAACACAATGGCTGCCGAAGTGGACTTGTCGTCCGCCAGTGGTAGGACCGCACGCGCCCAGATCTCCACGCCGCTTTCCTGGAAAACAAAGTTGAGGCTTGTTCTTTACTTTGGCAACTGAAAAGAGTAGCCTGATAGGACGGAAGCTTGTCGAAAGAAGGAAGGTAGATGGAGGTTAAAGAGAGTTTCTTGCTTTTCTTGAGTCTCTGGTTGGGCTAAATTACTTTACATTTAGCAGCAACAAAAATAACAACATTTCTTTGGGAAAGTGCATAATTTTAACGTATACTATGCTTGTAACCACGGCAGACCTTGATTAACTTCACTTCGTGTTGCATAAATGCAACTAGAGTTACTAAAATGCACTAGAATTTAGACGTTACCAAAGATGACGTGCGTGCATGTTCAACACTCGTGCCCAATCACAGATTGGGCACTAGTGTTGCGTCAGCGCTAGGCTTGACCTCGTGTTCAATCTACTCATTGAAGAACTCTCGGCGTCGCACACAAAATCTAATGCTGAATTGGCGTCATATTTGCACGATGACGTCACAGGCTGAACATTGCGAGTGGTGTTGACTGTACTCACTTCTCAATGTGGCCAGCTTGCTCTGATCGTATTTGTACGGCGGTGATGTTTGATATACATGAGGTTACCTTTCCGAGAATCTGACAAGGTGAAAAAGGGCAGGGCGTTTTTTTGTGAACGCCCAGCCGTTGCCTTCCGCCGTGCTTTGGATGCGCGTGCATTCTCGACGCTCATGAGACATTGCAGCGTTATGCGCGCGCATGCTCAAGGCTCATGACGCTGAAGCGCTGGTGGTGGGACAGGTGAGGGATCTCCCAGTCGTTATCAACCTATCGGAGACAATACAGCCATGCGCTTTCTGTAACCGCCACACACGTGACCTGTCCAAGGGACCGATTTTGGTCACCGCGAGAGTGAGAGGAAGATCGAATTGGCCTCTCCCGGAGAGTGCGCGGGTAGCGTTCGTAGACAATTCGCCTGCCAACGCGAGCGAAAAACGCGGTTCGCCTGCTTCGGAGCGTCGTATACGCAGACAAAAATAAAAAAAGAAAGCACTGTTCGTCGGCCGCTAACAAACTGAGCAAAAATTTTATCGTCTGCTACAAGCCGAGCACCGCGGCAAGGTGAGATCGGACGCGGGCTGAAATTGTGACCGTCTGCTATCTCATGTTGGAAGCCATTGACAGCTCGCGCTTCATTTGCAAATCTCACTCAAGTTGTTCTGCTTCCGTACTCAATCTGTCATCTACCAGTGGATGAAGAAGGTCAAGCACATCAGACGCCGTGAGATCTCTCTCGCTATTTTGATGTTGGTGACTGGTTCTCACCAAAATATTGCCCGATTTTGAGCTCGCAAACGGGTGAAAAATACCTCATTGGTTGATTACGCGCAAGCTGTGGCGCCACGTCCCATCAGCAGCCGAGAACGCTCTCGCCCTCAACGGGATGACTCTCAGCCCACGGCGAGATAAACAATCTTACCACGCAAATCCTTCGGCCCATTCGCCCCAAGGGATCTTGGTTGATGGCGATGACGAGGCGATTGGTAAGGATGTCCTTGTGTTCTGGGCGGATGGTCCGCAGGTCGGCGGACATGAATAGCGGAGCTGCCAGGATGGCCCACAGCGCCATCTGGGCCCTGCTCTGGTCAAGGCTGAGGCCGTAGTTGCCGATGATCAGCTGAATGCAGAAACCCGCGACACGCTGACTTTGGTTAGTGTTGCCTGTAAAAGAGCAGCTTGCAAGCACTTTGCTCCCTCCGCGTCGCATATGTTCCTCAAGCCATTTGGACAACTTTGCAACGTTAACACCATTGGGGATACGTAGCTGGGCGAGCTAGTTGACGCTCTATATTAGAAGCTCTGGAACCGTGTACGTTCCCTATAAATAGGGTGGTTATTTTCCGTTGTTTATTAAGGAAAAACAAATCGGGGGATGTTTTCTGTTTATTTTTTTAAGCACCAGTGTCTTTCGGCTGAACAAGTTGTGGCGAGACTAAAAACATTGACTATCGGTTCAAAAAATCAATTTATTTTATTCATTTTTTGCACCAAATTAGTCGCCACCGTATTCTATAAAAGGAATGTCATAAAAAAAGTTTTAAAAAATGAGGCTCTGCACACATTTAGTCAACGCGAATAAATGCGTCCACAGGGAGAGTATTTGAGGTTGGTTGTTTTGAAGAGACGCGTTCATACAGCTCAGCGTCTCTGGACCACACTGATGCAGTCTTACAAGAACCACTGCGACCTCCGAACAGACACTGGAAGGATAAAGGATCCACCAGGCGCTCGATGAACCCGTACGGAGGAGGAGTTTTAAAGGAGACAGCCGTCGCGAGGACGCAAACATTGAACGGCCGGTATGTTTCGATATTAACCAGGGCGAATATATTCAACCACGGTTGTCTTTTCGGTTTTAACCGATTTTATATTTTTGCCACCGGCGGATATTCATCGGTGTTTTTTGGTTAAAACAGGAAAGTGCACAGCCTAAAGAGTATAGATGTACATATTTCGAACTGTATTAAATATAAAAAACAGATACGATATTTTCTTTCGCTCATTGCTGCCATAAAAGAACGACGTGGCCGATGCTTAAAAAGAAGTGTCCCGTCGCCTCGCGTTCTACTAGCTCTCTACTTCGTTTCAGCTGAAGTTCAGACGCCGCCGACGCTATGAGTTAGAGACCACTTAAGCAGCGTCAAAAGCTCAAGTCACTTGGCCTTTTTCTGTTTATGATTGATTCAGCAATGCTAGAACACGTAAGGAAACACGACGGACACCATAATCCGCTTGTATAGCGTCGACTGCACCTGGATTTAAGGCGGAACGAAGTACAGTCCGGCAACAAAAATATTGCCTGGAGACGGGATTATTATCCCCTCTCCAGGGATTGGTATTGGTTAGCGCTCAGGTGAGATGAGAGGGAAAAATAACGTGGGACAGAAAGAACTGGCACTCGACTATTGACTGCTGTTGGATGTCGCGGAAGCTATACAACAGATTTGGAGGCACGGAAATAGATGAGGAAGGCACGGAAAGTCTGGGAAGCGATCATAAGAGAATTAAGATCAGATTTGGCACAGTAAAGCCAGAAATGCAAAATCAAAACCAGGAGGGTAGAAATAACTTAAATGATAAACAATTACAGGAAAATGGACATATAAAGACTTAGTGTTTTCAAAAGACAGTTATAGAAATATCGAATCGAACAAGAGGGAAGAGAACTAAAACTCAAGCTCAAAAGCTGGTGGGATAAAGAGGTTAAGGCAGCAATATCGAGACACCAAGCGGCAGCAAGAGAACACAGATGGGCAAAGAAAAAGGGGGCCACACCAGCCGAAGTAGCATCAAAATGAGAGTACTTTAAGGAAAGAAAGAGGGAGGCATCAGCATAGATGCCTCTCCCTTTCTTTCAAGGGGCAGAAAGGACCAACAGAAATCTCCTAACACAGCTAGGCGACTGGTTCCCAACTAAAAAAATCCGCCTGGTCCTGGTATCGAACCCGGGAACTCTCCATTGCCAGTGGAGCGCTCCCCTAACTGAGCTAACCAGGAGTTAGGCGTCAGTACAGCAAATAACTTTTAACAGCTACCACCAGACACCAACAAGGGTGAGCAGCCTAATTTTAAGGTTACGAATAAGGTTTAAGGTTAAAGGGGCCCTCCGGAGCTTTCTGCGATCGTCTGTTTATGTTGTTATATTGCGTAGTAGGTGCAAGTTAATATGTATACAAAGTTTTAGATTACAAAACCGTTTGTTAAGCAGATGGCAGAAGAAATATATTGGGACTATTTTCTCTTGGAAGACAATCCCCCATTCCCTGCCCATCGCTAAAACTTGACCAATGGAAATGCTGCATCTCGCGGTGAATGCGAACGTTATTATTGCAACACTTTTTAAGCTAGGTGATTGTGGTGCGGGAAACCATAGTCCGCAATTATCGCTCCAAAACCAGCGAACTATGTTTTCTCCCCGCAAGCGTGTTGCTAGGGGGTGATGCGTCGGCGCGTCGGCTCGTCTGCTTCCCGGGGCGTCTGCAGGCGTGCGTTTGCGGGACACGTGTTCCTTCTTCCCGTGGATCCCGACTCCGAAGCCAGCTTTGCAATCCTTCCACGTCAACGAGTCAAACTTTTCCTTGTCGTCTGTGGAATGCGACTGCGTATTGCAGTAGCAGCGCGACGGTGCGGTGCGACGAACGACGACTGCCGAGCTCGAAGTCCGGGCAGTCTGGGCTCCTTGACGACGGTCCGCGCGTGTTTGAGAGATTCCTCCGCGGGTCGGCGGTCGGCCGCGTCGGTGACGCGCAGTGACGCCGGAATCCTTCGCTTGCTATTGGCTGACGCGTAAAGAGATGCCCCTCCCGTTTTCCGGGGTCATCTCAGAAAGGGGGGCGTGCCGGGGACTTTGATAGCAATTTTAATAGGAAACTCCGCCGCGCATGACCGTAATTTTATGATTTTTAGGATCCTTAGGGCCTGTAGATTGAGTTACCGCCATAAATAGAAAATCGCAGAACGCTCCGGAGGGCCCCTTTAAGAGGGAGAACAAGGAATTATAATTGTTATTATTCTGGTCAAGCTCCCGGAAGCTTTGCATTCATTGCATTAACATCATACAGTTTGGCGCTCGTCCCGCCCTCTTCTTTCAGTCTTGGTCTTGTTGTACGCTGTGTTTACCTCATATAAAAAGACAATAGTCTACGCTTTCGTACCGATCGTGATGTTTCTCTATAGGCCTCCTGCGCTGAAGCTTTGAACAAACTCTAGCGCCCTCATTTTGGGTAGTACAAGCTCACCTGATTGAGCCTCGCACAACTTATGGCACGTTGGTTGAGCTTTTTTAATTCTAAGTGGTGCTGAAGAACGAAAAAAAAAAAAACACATTTGGACGCCAGAAATCGGCCAGACTCAACGTTGCAAGACAATCGAAAGTGCCAAATGCATGACACCACCGCTAGGGCACGCGTCTCTTATCTCTGGGTGGTAACGTCAGAAGACCTGCGTCGCGACGCGTTCATTTTTTTTTTCTTTTTCATGTCTACTTTGGAACAAGTGAAACGGCATTTCTTGGCTCACGCTCTTAGCGTCTTAGCTTTGACGGCGTTCGAATTTTGGTTGTTTCTTTGTATTTTCATCGTGATCTCGCGCTCCGCACCAGAGCAGGCACGCTTCTGATTGCGTGACAATTTGAGACGCTAAAATTTGTACTACCCAAAACAAGTCCTAACAAGTCCTTTTTCGCAGCACCCCCTGGGCAACGCAGGAGGCCCATGGTCAGTGCCACAACGCAGACTGTTTGTTTTAGGCCTAAAGGTATTTGCAGCCTCGCCATTGGTCAAGCTCCCCCCGTGGAGTGCACTAGTTGGCATTCCTACGTGCTTGGCGGGCAATTAGACGCTCAGAGTGTACAAGAGTGTCCACTCTGGTGTACCGCAAGGCTCGGTGCTTGGTCCTCTTCTTTTTCTTATTTACATTAATGATCTCGCGTCAACCGTTTCCTCCCACATTCACTTGTTTGCTGATGACCGCGTACTTTTTCGTGAAATAACTTGCGATAATGACATAATCTGCCTTCAATCTGACCTTAACGCTATCTCTGTCTGGTGCGAAGCATGGCGCATGGAATTAAATATTCACAAGTGTAAACTAATGCATGTGTCCAGAAAACCTTGCCAATTGCCAAAATACTGCCTTAATAACATACCACTTGACCCTGTATCCTCATACAAGTATCTTGGCATTCATATTTCACATGATCTGACTTGGACCGCCCATACCACATACGTGATTAATAATGCTAACCGGATGTTGGGATACCTTCGACGTAACTTTGCCCGAGCATCTTCGTCATTAAAACTATTGCTTTACACCACACTAATTCGCTCTAAATTGGAATACGCCGCGTCAGTTTGGGATCCCAGCCAAGAAAACCTAATAAACTCACTCGAAATGGTCCAAAATAATTCTGTTCGTTTTATACTTTCTAACTATAACCGAACCGCGAGCATAAGTTCAATGAAGTCTAGCCTCAACCTGCCATCTCTCGCATCTCGCCGTAAAGTTTTCGTCTCAGTCTCTTTCATAAATTGTTTTACCATTCACATCTGCACGACGAACTTATTTTACCTCCTCAGTACATCTCATCTCGGTTTGATCATGCTAATAAGGTTGGAATTCCATCAGCCAGAACTAACGCTTTCTTTCAGTCATTTCTGCCACGCACATCTGACGAGTGGAATCGCCTTCCTGCTTCAATAGCCACTATCGAAGACTCCCATCACTTCAAGAACGCCTTAGCTAACATTGTATGATTATATGCCATTTTTTGTTTATTTGTATTATCATTTTTGCTGTACTCTGTTTAATTTCTTCTTGATTGTAACCACTCCCCTCTCTAATGCCTTTGGCCCTGAGGGTATACTAAATAAATAAATAAATAAAAGAGTGCGAGGACGTGGCCGATGCGGTATACCATGTCGGGGTCGCTCCAGCGGCCCGGACCAGAGACCGCGGTGAGGGTGTCCTGCACGGAGGCGTAGTAGTCCACGATGTGGAGGACGCTGACCCAGGAGTCCGTGATGTCGTCGAAGTTCCGCCACATGTTGCAGCTCCGAGCGATCGCCGGGTAGTTGGGCTGCACGCGGTCACACGCTGGTGAGTGACCGCAATGCCGTAAGTCCTTTAAAGGGACCATGAAATGAATTTCGGGCTGCGATATAAATTATTTTACATTGGGATTCTACTCACCGGGGATTGTTTAGCGGGCCAAAAGAAAACTAGAACAGGAAGGTGGAAAGCCAAAAGCCTGCTCTTCTGTACGAAAATTTGAAGATAGAGCGGACTATTTTGCACCTCCTTTCCTTCGAAAGCTTTCCACCTTTTCACCGTGATGCATCCGCGGTGCCCAAAGCACGTCAGCCGAACGCAGCTCACGCATTGGGCACGAACACTGCGTCGCTCGGACGTATGCGCTCGTCAACAATCCATCCGTCGACGAATGTTTGGATTCGCGTTCGTGGCCAGTGAGTGGCCTGACGGCACTTAGCATCACTTGCGAATGATAAATTACATGGTGTGCTTAAAAAGTACGGTGGAAGCTTTGAGTCGTCGCATCCAATGAAAAACTACGTTATGACCACGTGATCTCCCATTTCTCTTCTGAGTTGAGAAGGAAAGTTAATCAAAGCTCATTTCATGGTTCCTTTAAAAGAACACCAAAGTAAAAACAAGTCTGTCCTGGTTATGTGCCTGGACAGGACACAAAGGTAAAATAATTAACCTCCCCAGCAAAAAAAAAAGAAAACAACAAAAACATTATGATAAATTAAAGCAATATTTAAGTCGCCAGACATATTTTGAGTTAAATATTCCAGTACATCGACTTTAAATAAAAGCACGTCGCGCTTCTCAAGACGAGTCTCGCCACGTAGATAGTGCTGTAATTTTTTTTTTGTCTGTTTGAGGAAGCCTTATTTTGTGACACAGGCACTTAAAAAAAAACAAAAAAACTGGGTTCATGGACCGCAAAAGACGCAGCTTCGCAATTCCTTCTCAGACATGTAAATAACGCGCAGTGTTGTAGGCGCTACGGGGAAAAAAAGTAACGAGATACGTTATTCGTTACGTGATAATAAAAAGAACGCGTTACCGACCTACGTTACCTAAAAATGAAAAGAACGCGTTACCGTTACCGATAAAAAGTAGCGCGCCTTACTTCTGTGACAATTTTTTAATTATGAATTAACACGTTTTACTGTTTTGACGGTAGAGGTATGCATAAGGGCCATATCTTAAGTAACATTACATTCATGCAGAAACTAAACATAATCGCTTTATATTTTTAAGGTTTCATCGAAATACTCATCAATAAAACGCTAAAGGAAAAAAAACAACACAAAAAACGGAAAGATTCACAAGGCTTGGCGACTAAAAAAATAAAAATGTTAAGTGTAATTTTTTTTTTTTTTAAGTTTTGGGAAGAACTTGCGAGTAACGCAAATGTGTCGCCCGTTACTTAAAATATGTAACGTAAGTAAGTTACCCGTTAGTGTTTTGAAAAAGTAAGTATGTTACTACGCTACCGAAAAAAAATAAAGTGTTACCGGTAACGCCGTTACTTGTAACACGTTTGCTGCCAACACTGCTTCGCGTTAAAAAAAAGGTGAAAACAAAATACTTTTTTTTTTTTAAACTGTCCGGATGGGACACACGTGTCAAGGAATCAATTTTAAGCGGAAAAAAAAAAGTTAGAGCAGTATTGACGGCGCGATATAGTCGGTAGTCGCTTTCTTTCCACTTGTTTTCTGTCTCGGCGTTTCGGGCGCGTAGAGGAGAGGTGGATCGGCTTGGCCGACACGTTGAGGTGGAGAGAGTGTATGACCATCTCGTTGAGGTGGAAAGAGTGTGTGACCATTCCGTGACGTCATGAGGCTTTGCGCGCAGAATTAAAAAAAGAAAACACTCGTGCCGTCAATCTGGCGCTAAATTTTTCTTCTTTTTTTTTTTTGCGTAAAAATTTTTTTTTTTTACATGCTTGTCCCAAAGCAGATGGTTTAAAAAAAATTATTTTCTTTTCAGGGGCCCTTTAAGGCTGGTTCAAACTAAAGTCACCGGGTCATGAAAAAGTGGCGTCATTGCCTTCTTTAGCTGCTAGCCGGGCACAAACAAATACCAACATACAGACGACCAAACCTCGCCAGGTGATTGGCTGATCTGTCTCAGTTGCCATGGCGATCACCATTTCGGTCCATTCGAATCTTGTAAGCTTCGAAAGGGTCGCTCTGTACCAGTCGCGCCTAGGTTGCTACGAAGCTTCCTCGCACTGAAGGCGTTCCTCGCCAATATAAGCGTTTTTGGCACTGTGCATGCAATCAACTTATCAATCATGCTCATCTCCCCAGATCTTTTACAACGATATTGCTCTTCTTGCGCATTTCAAGACGGGAAAAATATTTTTAAACGCATCCATGCATTGATTCCGCATGTGTTGGCGATACGAATATGCGCACTCGTTTCGCCCACCGGCAATTCGCCGGTGCCACGCAAAAAAAAAAAAAAAAAAAAAATCATAATTTAGAAACAAACAAAAAAAAAAACGCTTACGCTTATTGTCCCAATGTGAAAAAACGCTGTGAAAGAAAAAAAAACGCTGTTACGTTTAATTTCTAAATAAAAAAAAGCTAAGCAAGAGCATCGTGTCTTACTTTTTATCGATAACGGTAACACCTTCATTTTATTTTGAGGTAACGCATGTCGGTATGCCTTCCTTTATTTTGCGAGCCGTTACTTTTTTCTTTCGGTAACGCCTACAACACTGACGTGGAGAATGGTGACAAATGTCACGCGAGAAGAAGGAACAAAAAAGTGAAACGTGAGGTTTTCGACGTTTACCTTCATTCCAGCGTCGACTTGGTAAGCCGGCCAGCTGCAGGAAAACACGATTTTTCTGCCGGTGGCGTTCAAAGCCGAAGTTACCGCCGGGTACACTGTTCAACGAAACACCCCAAGAAAACGAAGAAAATACAAAGGTTCAGCAAAAGCTTCCTGCAATTGTGTTACAAACGAAATTCTATTGCACGGATGCTATACATATGTACGTTCGAAAAGCAACTATTTTGCGCTTCTGTTAGCACCCTTCAAGAGCGAGGACGGCGACCGAATCACGACCGGGACAGCCGTTCTTTGCATGGTCGCGTGGCCACCGGTTACCTTACAGTGGACCTCAGTAGATGCTACGAGCCATCTCAACCAATCAGGCGCGGCGAGGGTGTCACGTGATTGCGAGCCCCGCGCGTTGGTAGCCTCCCACTTCCGTAACTCACGTGACACACACGCAATGGGATTGGCTATGATGGCTCCTAGCGTCCTCCGTTCTACATCATGGGATGAAACGGAGCACCACATCGAAGTGACGGTCACGTCGCTTTGTGCCGATTAATCACCAGTGTATAAAGTTGTGGACACGCTTTTTTTTTTTCGTTTTGTTTTCCAGTTTTTTTTTTTTTTTTGACATTGTTTGCGACGTGCGGAGCACGATTGAACCGGTAATGAGATTTTTTCAACGTGAACATTTGGCAGGTGTCCGTCTGATTGTGGCAAAAAAATTAAAAGAGGGGGGGACACCCCCCCCCCCTTTTTTTTTTTCTTTTTTCAATTGGCTCTTGGGAAAAAGGAATCGCGGTGCCCCGCCGGAGTCGGAAGAGATAGCGCAACTGCTCTTCCGGACGCTGACCGTATAGGTCGAGCTTGCGCCGCTGTGAGAAGAGGACCCGCGCACACTGCTCGCAATTCTTATTGAAAATAAGTCCACTGTCGTGACGCAGGTACAGTACGGCGTCTGGAAGGCGTTTTCGACTGGTACGTTTAGCGTTCTATTCCACCCGTGCGTCGAAAGTATGCTCCCAGAGTGACGTCACGAAAGCCGGGCCGTTGCGCTGTCGGATGTCGCGAACCTGGTGTTTAGTCGTACAAGTTCTGGCAAAAAGAGTCCGTGAAAGGGATGGTCACTGTTGTCGCTGCTTTTCGACTTGTTGCTGCAGTAGCGTAGACCGTGAAGCTGGAGAGCGACATGCAGCGCAACAGTCGTCTGCCACATCCACAACCGCTGCTGCTATACACGGCCAACATGGCGGCCGCGGCGACAGCACCACACGTCTGCGACGTCATCAGACTGAGATCGAGGGGCCACTTTGATGGACACGGTAAACACATCAGTCCGAGACGCCTTCCAGCTGTAGGCACCATAGTCACATTGGCTTTACCTATAGAGCCACTAAACGAGCTACGCTTAGAGTATCGGCACTCTGTACTCCGATATTGTTGTGGGCGCCGCCATCTTGGTACTGAGTATACAAAGCAGGCGCAACTGCCGATCGTCACGATTCAAAAGTGCGACTTCCTCGGCATCATAGGTTCGGTGTTAGGGAGCTCGTGTAAATTCTGCTTTGCTTTGTCGCGAACTGTTTAAAAATTTGCGGAGGACGAAAAAGCGTTTCCTGTGATTTCAGATGACATACCAGGCATGCTTTTAAACCCCAAGATGGGTAAGTGTCGCTACTCTGAAGCGTAGCTTACTTAGGGGCACCAGCTTTACCTATTATGAGCACAAATGACGACTAAACTCCAACTCACGACGGTCCATAAAGATGGGGTTGATGTTGCAGCCGTCCAGCTTGAGCATGTCGACACCCCACTCTGCGAACGTGCGGGCATCTTGTACGTAGTGACACAGGCTGCCGGGATACCCGGCGCAGGTCTGGGTCCCGCAGTCCTGGTAAATGCCGAACTTGAGGCCTTTGCTGTGTATCTGCGAGCAACGCAGACCCGGCGGCGGAGATTCGGAAACGTCCGTAAAGGTTGTAACTACATAACGGCGGATTTCGGGCGGTCAAAAGCCGGCGTGGCTTCGCAGGTGGCTCGTGTAGCGTTGCCTGTTACCTTTTGTCTCCAATCAAGCTATAGCCTCCTCTATACTCATAAATCATGGCAGTTCGCCGACGGAGCATAGAGTGCCCGGTCGTAGATTTGGAGCGCGAGGATCTGGTAGCACAAAGCATCAAAGCGCCATTTCTTCGGGAACCTAGAGTTCCTGTATAGGCTCCCAACGGGAGCCGTAGGTAGCTATACAGGAACTCTAGGGGAACCTGGACGTCAGCGCACAGCTTTTGTAGCGGCGAGGACCCGAACCACACTTATTCGCTCGGGAGAAGTGCGTTTCGGCGTCTCGCCGCAGCGGGGCGTCAGTCACGTGGCTCTCCTCTCATCCATTGTCTGCCGCTCCACCTTTTCCATTTCGGCGGCCGCTTCTCGTGGCGATCTCCCAGGCTTTGCCAGCATCTAGGAGGCTATGATCGAGCACAAAATAACAAAATGACGGAAACTAAGAAGTTTTCTTTCGCCGGTTTTGCGAGTGAGTTTCGTCAACTTCCTTCACGACCATTCTATGGCAGTAAAGTAGATTGTTGGGCTAGTTGGTTTTGGACTTGGAATACATTTTAGTGCTCAAAAACAAGGACAAAAAGACAAGAATCAGACACCACAGCGCACTGTGGTGTCGAGCGCTAAAATGTATTCCACATTCTATGGGATTAGCTTCGAGACGTGTGTGTGTGGCTCCCGTCTTACGGTTTCCATTAGTGACGCCACGAAGAGGATTTGCATCAGCGAGGCGTGACAACGTGATCTGGGTAGCTTATCATCGGCTGCAACGAGGAGTTTGACGGTGTGGCTTAAAAACGCTGTGGAAGCTGGGAGATCGCATTCATAAGCCAACATCATGGAAGTTAACAGTTATGAAAACTAAAAACGTGAGAGATAAGACACGGAAAAAGAAGGGGAATGGAAACGAGCGACGTATCGGACGCACGCCCTTTTTCAGACTATGGGAAAACTTCAGTCGGTTGACAGGTTAAATGGGTACTGAAGTGGATGCTAGGATCGTCTATTTATGGTTATAAGTTCTAGGGCTGGCCAATTGATCGATTAACCTTCCGATTAATCGATTAAGGGCTTAATCGCGATAAAATGTTTTAACCGGTTAATCGGTTTTTTAATCGGTACTCAAAAAGAAGTCAACTGGACGTACGCATGGCTTTATCCTGGACGGCCTGCCCAAACTAGGGGTGCGTGGCGAGTATCCGGTCGTTTTGTCCCGAGCGGTTTTCCGTGCCCAGCCAGGTGCCATGAGCAAGGTTCGATTCTCGCGCTCGCAAAGCGTCACGTGTTCGAGGATATGCATTACAGTTCTGCCGAGGCCAGACGAACAAGCCTTGCCCGCAATTGATTCTCGGGCGATCGCGAACCTTCACGTGTTGAGGATCTCTTACACATCCTGCCCAGGCAAGACAAACACGCAGAAAAGCAAGCTGGGAAGCTAACAACGCCATGGTTACTTGTTCCAGTATTCGGCCCGTAAAAATGGACGAGTACACAAGTATAAAAGTCACACTCGCTGGAAAGTTTGGGTTTAAAATAACCTCCATCGGTGAAGTTTTTAACTCGAAGGAAGTCCACTGCCTCATCTACAAAAAGCCGTTTTCGTGCAGTGGAAGCGTAAGTTCGCTTCAGTATAACCAACGAGCGAAGCACCCATGTACGCCGCTGCAGCAAGGACGATCCGCCACAACGCGGATAACAATGAACGCCTTCTTATTGATGCCTCTTTCTCTGAAAAAAGAAGAAAGCATCGCCCAAGCCCCGACTTCTTGTCTTCCTGTCGGAGAATGTGGACAAACTTCTTTGTCTTCGGAGCTGGAGCAAACATATGTGAGTCTTTAAATCGTTGAACTATACGTATCCTCAATTCTAAACGTCATTTGCGCCGTGTAACAGAGAGGGAAATAAGCCTTCAAAGGCAAGACGAGTCGTTGCATTATTTTAATATAGTATTTATAAAAATTAACGCAACCGATTAATCGATTAATTAATCGATTAAAGGGTGGCGATTAATGGGGTTAAAATTTTTAATCGACGCCCAGCCCTAGTTATAACCCGATCTACACTCTCAAGAAAAAAAGCGTGTGAAAGGGTGTATCGTTACACCCTTTGTCCCATATAATACACCCCAAATCTTCATTTCGACGTACAGGGCTCTACAGTGGAACAGACGGCCCGAAGTTTTACGAGGGGCTTGATAGCCGTGTGGTACAACTTATTAAAATAGCTAATGTACGTTTTACCGAAAAAAAAATCTTTTTTTTTTTTAACCCTACTGTAATAACTCGGTGTTTTCTTTATGTGGTCTTTGATACGTACTTGCAAGAAGGTGTAAAATTTGCGAGCCAGTTCCTTTGTTAATCCTAGCTTGATCGTCCTCAATTAATCTGATGAAGCTTAGGCGGATGTCGTATAGTTCCTTGTTGTTGGTGTGGTCAAGTGTGATTTGGGAGGTACCCGGGTCGTCGCAGCTTCCGTCTATTTTGGGATTCATGTTTTTGTCACAGCAGAAAGCGTGTCCTGTTTGAACAACTGCTTGTTGGGTGAGTTGGTGCTGAAACTTTGAAAACATGGTAGCACTTTTGACACCGCCAAAGGACTGTCCACCACCAAAAGACTGTTCATCGCCTTTTGGGCGGTAGACAGCCTTTTAAATGTTTTTAGTAATGCCCTAAATCCTCTCCAACTTACGCACGAGGTACTTGTGGATAACGTCATGGAGTTTTTAGACATTGAGCTCAGCCTTTTGGAGCAACATGTGTGTTGAAAGTACCATCACAGAGCCAATAAGCCCTTATTACGTTTCAACTCCTTCCATTCCAGACTCGTTAAGAGAGGAATGGTAAATTAATGCTTTATGAACACGCTAAGGAAGTCGTGTCGGCATGCGATACCTTCAGGCCTGAAGGAACAGTCAGAACTCCTGAAGGCGGCCTCTTTTCTGGAGTCTCTCTTGGTGTCTGTTACCCAAAGGGTTTTAAAGAAGCTACGAGCACAGGACAGTCCAGATCAAGTCACAGAACGAAAAAAGACAAAAACGGGCGGTTGTACCATACATGCCGCACAAAACCGCACACAATCTTAAGAAGGTAGCGAACCGCGTTAACATAAAGGCAGTTTTTTCTGGCACCAGAAAAAAACTCTCCGAGATGTTCAGACTGGCGGAACCCTTCCGCAAACGCCTGGTAGGCTGCCTGAAGAAGCATCGCAGCCCGTTTGTAGCCTGTGCGGAAGGAGTGGTCCGTCAGATCCCGCTGACGTGTGGCAGGAGATACGTGGGACAGACGGGAAGATGCGTCAACGAAAGATTACGTGAACACAACCAAGAAGTGAGTGGGCAACGGGACGGCCATTTGTTCATGCACTGTCATGACTCTGAATGCAAACCTGAGTTCAAGTCATGCACGATCATCAGTAGGCACAAGGATAAAACGGTACGAGAAATTATAAAGGCCGACCCGATAAAAAAATAATAAACACTTGAAGTTAGCGCATTGTGTTGTCCTGCTCTCCCCTCTCATCCGTGTCAAAAGGTGCTACCTGTTTGGACAGCTCTCTAGAAATCCTCACTTTCAAGTTTTTGTGTGTGTTTTTAGCAGTGTGTACCACCGCTGCCATATGACTTGAAGCGGACAGCTGCAGCATCTTCAAATGAAGAACTGAACAAATAAATAACATATTAATTAAGATGAAGAGTGTTACGTGGACGAAAATAACGTTTCTGCTGAGCTTCTGGAGCTCCGAGTACGGACAAAAATCTGTTGGCAACGACCCGGGCGCATATTTCGAGACAGAGTATTTGATGTTCCCCTTCGAAGTTTTGGGTTCACACAGGTGCGTGACGGTGAACGACAACACTGGAGAGCAAAACATTACACGAAGGAAAAAAGAGACGAGGCAAACAAGCCGTTTCCATTATTTTTTGGGTATTGACACTTCCGAATTGAGGAAAAAAAAGAGTTCCAGATTAGATCACAAGAATGTATACGACGGAAAGGAGCGGAGGGTATTTGATCTCAGATCAAATACCCTCCGCCCCTCCGCTCCAGAATGCAACGAAGTTCGTTGCATTCTGTGTTTTCACCGGGATATTTTGGGCAATCGAAAAGTGTCGCCAGCGCGAATTGGTTATGTATCGATGACGGTATAGATAAAGGCTGCCATACACGCGCGAAACAAATCAACGGAATTTTGCGCAAAATTCGGCACACGATAAATGCGTGTTATGCCACCTTTGCTCGCATTCACCGCGCGAACTTCGTTAAAAAATATTGTGCGAAATTATGTTTTTATGTTTCAAAACCTGTGCGATTTTCGTATGCATGGTTTTCCGCACATGTGTTTCCGAATTGTATTGTAGGTGCGCGTTTTATCTTCTAGTTGGTACTGACTCCGGACAGGCTAACTACGCCACTAAAGATTACATGGGGGGGGGGGGGGGGGGGGTAAGCGTTAATTTATTTTAAATTTAATAGTGGCCCTGCACTATTTTGAAGTCGGGCACCAAATAAAGCTAATCCGCTTTTAATAAATATGAAATATCCGTTTCGCATGCTCGCACACAAGTAATTTACCACGATAGCATAACCAAGCGCTTATTTTGTTTTTATGAAAATATTGAAGTAATAACTCATCTCAATCAAAAGTTGCAAATAAAAACACACATTTTCCTACGTCTCAGTAGTCAGTACAAATTTAAACTTTTAAAATATATTAAAAGCAAAAAAGCATTCTTGTGGGCAAGTGAGACGTTTTTTCGGACGAAACAGGAAATAAAAAGGAAAGGCAACTACTATTTTATTAATTCTGTTTTTTGTTTGTTCTCGGGAATTCAAAGGTCCTAACACCCGCAACGTTGTTTTTCTTTTTTCTTTTTTTCTATTGGTATGAAAAGGTAATGGTTGTTTTAGTTGTAGCCTCCTTCAGGAGGCGGTCGAGGAAATGAAATTGCGGCTGTGTTTTAAGAGCCTACATATTGTGTTTACCCCATTTTCGTTCCCTTTTTAATGAGCTTTTTTTCAGTTTGTTAACTAAACTTTATCGATAATGAACCCACCCGGAGTTAGAGTTCTGGCTCCACCAATCTTGTCTTTTAGCGGCTTTTAGACTTTACTTTTTTTTCCTCATTCGATCAGTACGATTCAAATCATCTACATATTTAGATTAATATAGTAGCTACCCAAAGCCTAAGCCCTTCTACTTACGTTATGGAGGTTCATCCTCTAATTAAACCTTGTGGGCGCTTGGAGGCATACACTGTGTTTCTGAAAAAGCTTTCAAAAATCGCTAAAAATATGCTCTTCGGCATGAAGAGAACCTCTTTGCGGAAACAGAATACAAGCCTGGGCAGACGTCAGGGGTTGTAAAAACATATTAATTAGCAAGATAATTAACTAAAATGTACTGATTCCTTATTAATTATTTCATTAGTGACGATATGGTTTTAAATAGTGAACGTAATTTAGCGGGACATTTAGCAAAAATTTCCCCACTAAATTTAGCGGGGAAATTGATGTCAGTGACGCTAACACCAATTCAGTTTCCCGCTAAATTTAGCGAGGAAACTGTGGCGTCTCATAACACAATGCGCGCGGTTACGCCGACGCCGCTCAACCCGGAAACAGGCGCCTACGAGCTGCGCTCTAAAACTTGCTGAGCATCATCGAAAAGCACTAAATCAACTAATCTTTTGAAAGATATAAGTGAAAGGCAGCATTTTACAGCGCTCCGTAAAAGCGCTCGGTTTGGACGCGTTTCTAGGTTTCGGTTTCTTATCAGATCCCACCTCTGCGCCCACGGTCCTGCTCCCCAGTGGCCGAGGCGCGCAACGCACGTGCGCTCCGATAGGAAACCGAAACCTAAAAATCACGTCCAAACTGAACTTTTTTTTTTTTTCAGAACAGCGTAAAATGTTGATCCTGCTTTATATATTTCTAAAAAGAGTTGATTTAGTGGTTTTTGATCATGGTTAGCAAGTTTTTTCAAAAGAACCGTATATGTTTTTTTTACAGTAATTATTAAAAACTAATTAGTAAAATTTAGTATTTTGCTAAATACAGCCTCTGTCCTAGCACGTCGTTGAAGTCAGAGCTGCCGCAAGCACAGCCATCATTGATGCAATGGCCATGCGGCTTCTGGCGCCTTCTGATAAGCGCTTTGAGACTAGATATTTTTCGGGTTTGTTACTGGTTCATATATTTTATTTGTTTTTTTTGTGGTCTTTCGTGGTCGAAGGCAACACCTCCATATTTTAAATATAATTCGTTAGACACTTTAAGGAAATCCGTAAAAGTTACACTTATTCTGTTTGTGCAGGTGAGTTATGCGGCCAGCGGAACATAGCATAGGGGTCTAATCGTAGCGATAGTGCGACTAATTAATTAAAATTCGTTAATCAACTTTTTATTTATTGAAAATATACATATGGTTCCAGTTAGAATTTTGCAGAGCGTCATCGAAAACCGCTAAATCAACTCCTCTTAATAATAACTGTGGTTGTGGGGATATTTATACAGCGTGTAGTTGGTCAGGCATTTCAAAGTTGCGACGAGTCACTCGCTGTAGATAAGCAATTTAGCCAGTGCAGTACAACTTCTATCCTGGGGGTCTTTGACATGCACCACGCAGTAGTGATACACGACCGCACGCCGGTACGATGCTCATCCAGATAACACTGTATCTAGATCAAAACGGGCAGGGGCGGGGATTGAGCCCAGGATCCCTGGGTCCTGCAGCGCGAGCTTTCGCTCCCCGTGCTCCGAGCTGGTGTGCGCTAGCCCACTCGGCCACCGATCCCCCAACCCCTTTTAGAAACACCTTAAACACGTGGAAAGCGTAGTAGTGCGCTAAAGTTACCTCTTGTGCAGCAGGTGCAAGGCTCCCGGTGCGACCACGCGCCCGGGCGAGTCTCTTTCTTTAGCCCCAGCCTTGTACCTGTTTCACGAGTGGCACCTTCGGCGCCCTACTTTCCACGCGCTCAAAGTGTTTCAAAGCTGCTTTCGATGACGCTGAGAAAATTTCTAATTGGAACCATATGCTGACTTTCACTCATTCAAAATTTAATTAACAAATTTTATTTAATTACCCAACTGACCGTTACGATTTGTCGCCTATATTATGTCTCCTGGCCGTATAACTCACCAGCACAAACCGCATAAATGTAGCTTTCACGTTATTCTTTTTATAAATCTGCAAAGCTTAAAAAAACACCATTTTAGAGTGTAAAAAAATTTAGTTTTAGAAATTTAAAGAAGAAACACTGGGGGGTACCCGAAATCTGTTTTAAGGCGAAAGCTCGATCTGTCTCAATACAGGAAAAGGCGGCGTCGTCGTTGTGCCCGAAAGATGGCCATAAAAATACGTCATCAAGTACCCGCCGTTCAAGGTCAAAGCGGACGTGCGTCAGAAATAAAACATAAAGAAAAGCACAGCAACGCAGATGCTTCGCCACGGTAGCCGTGGAGCCGGAGGGGTCACCGCGCTTGGGCAGCCTGGAGGAGCGTGATGTCAGCGTCGGAGGAAAACATTTCAGACATGGTGCTATAACACTTTCGCATGCCTATACGTAAGCTGTCTTAAAGGGATACTGAAGCGAAATTGGGATTTTGCAAAATAAGGCCGCAGAAGCGTTGAACGGGGATCTACGAAGTCAAGGACCTCACTCATACATCAATATCTCAGGCTGGAGGGCGTATTTTCTTAAAAGAAGGGTGCGTTAAAGCGAGGACTCTGACGTCACGGTTCTCCCGGCACAACTGAGAATGAGGGGAAGCTGCCTCGCTTCTCTCCCCCTCGCTCCGCTTCACCAACTCGACGGGACGAAGCGAGGAGGAGAGGGAATGAGAATAGTGACGTCACGTGTCTCGTCGGCCTCGACGGCCGTGTTCAATCGCACATGTCTTTTCCAAAAGTACATCCATCCGTTAGAGATGTCGCAGCATGAGTGGTGTTTTTTGGGGTTCTGGAGCGTCCCACCTGTCGCTCCAGCCCTGTTTTCTGAGCTCGAAATTTCGGTTCAGTACCCCTTTAAGTGTCTTCGGAGTGTTTGACCGCTTTCTTGCACAGGTCATTACTCCCGGCGCAGACACTACGGACAACGGTAATCGTAGCTATCATTTTCTTAGTTTAGTAAAATTCATTCATAATCCTTTTAAGTGCTTGAAATAGGGTAGGTGTTTGTATTGGAAACTTGAAGGCTGCCGGCTTAGAAGATGCCTAAAGACAGTGTTAGTATCAAAAACGTGAGAGGACCGTCAGACAGGGTAGAGACACGCATCAAGCAGCGTCTGCAGAGTGTTTTTTTTTTTTTTTTTTTTTTATGTGACGCATTCGCATTGTGACCGAAAAAAAAAAGTGCAACTCACGAAGTCACCGAGCTTCTTCATGCCGCTCGGAAATCTGGTGCTGTTGGCCATCAGGCTTCCGTCAGGCTGTCTGCTGTTCGCCATCCAGCAGTCGTCTACGTTGACGTACTGGTAGCCCACCTCCTGGTATCCCTCCTTGTGCATGATGTTGGCCATGGTCATGTACAGCCTCTCGCTTGGGGACAGAACAAACAGCCACAGCTGAAGACCAAGTCTCCACTATGTTTTTGTGTTCTTTCTTAGCGTGTTTTGGGTATCGGGTAGTACCTACCACAGAGAGGGGCAGCACCGTAAGGATAAATGCGTTAGAAGGCTACCCAATCAATATTTTGCTACAGCGTCACGCTTATTTTTAACAGAGTAAAAAAAACGCAACTGCTTGAAACCGAAATTGAAACTGGACTGGGGAGGAACAAGAAATTTAGAAGAGGAGAAAGTTATCAAAAACCACGTGTCTGTGTAACATTTTTTTTTTTTTCAGTCAACGTATTTGGAACTTTTTAGAAGGCACTAAAATTGGTGTCATATTTTCAGTGTGTTTTTAGTACTGAGTGTGTGCTTTCGATGACCCGCGACTTTGATTATCTTTGGTGGTTATGTCTAAATCATACAAAAACGGCACGTGACCACGGAGAAGAGAGTAAGCGCGACTCAAGACGGCCAGTTCTCGATCGGCGGTTTTCGAGCGGAATGAAAACGAATTTCGAGCCACAAATTATGTTCTGGATAGTTGGGCTCTCATATCTTACGTACAAATAAAAACTTTGGTGAGCATTAATACTCTGCCCGTGTCCCTTTAACGACAGTTATTCGTCTGAGTGGGACCCTCGTGATAAACACACTCCTGACTTCTGTCGAAGGACGCAAGCGGAGGACCTTTAAACACGGTAAAAGAAACGTCCCAAAGCAGACCGCAGTCGGGGGAAACCCCCCCTTCCTGTAAAGCAAATGCTGAAATGCAGAAAATGTGTTGTTCAGCCTCTTTATTTAGCTAAGTGCCATAGGCAACAATGTGTTCTCTAGTCGTAAGCAGTCGCACGCGGTAGCAACACACTCGGATACAGCGCCAAACGCACGAAACGTGTGAAGCAGCTTTTACAGGCTGCTACCCTTTTTCCTGCTTTCTGCTGGAACGCCGTGGCGCGTGGCGGTGAGAATGCGGTGCGTACCTGATGCAGTTTTCAGGGTCGCGCGCGCAGTCCACGTTGCAGAGGAAGCGTTCCCACGACAGCCACCCCATCGGAGGTGTCCGGGCCAGGCCGTTGTCGAGGCCCTGGGCGGACGTTGCAAGCAGCAGGGCGACCCCGAGAGAGAGTGGACACCGCAAACGCATCCCGGCACTGGAAACGAGACACGTAATGAAGCGTCAGGCGGGGGCAACAGCGCGTTCGACACGCACTTCGCGCAGCCCTTTGAAAGATTCGAGATATGCTACGCACTTAGATTGTGGAAACCAGCTGAACTTACAGAAAAGAAAAGAAAATCTAAGTATGTACAACCAACTAGCTCAGCTCCTTTCCATTGCATATACTACGCGTTCGCCCTTGAAGGCCCGGTACGCACAGTTGCGTTTGAGAGCGTTTGACTTTGTTGCGTCTGCGAGAAACCAGGACATCCCTGCTTTTTATGTCGCGCGCCAAGCTATACCCTGAATTGGATTCTACGCCTCATACGAAGCACAGACCTGCCGCAGACTCGCTTTCGTTTCTGGACGCAACGCAATCAAACACACGCAAACGCTCTCAAACGCGACTGTGCGTAGCAGCCATCAGACTAAGGCCGCAAGCGAAGGAGCACAAGATCGCAACTTTCAAACGTTCTTTCGCGGAACGAGTGCACGCGCTATGGTCACTGGCAGGATGAGAACGACAGGGAGGAGTTTTAGTTGTCCCGCCCCAGTGTGAGCTTCGTACCTTGGGTAACGCTTCGTAATCTTGTGAGGATAGAGTGTGCACGCGCAGCCACAGCACGGCAGAATGCAACGAGCTCGTGCTGGAGGCCGGGTGTTCACAAGAGACACCCTAACGTTTTCACCTTGTCATGGACTATACACGATTGTGCAATGTAAAGCCGGAGTTACGCTGTTTATACATTACACAAAAGACAGTCTGCAAACAGATTCCAACGCGAGTCACCGCGAGATTCCTGCTTCGAATGCCGCATGGCAATGAGTTCAAGGAGGAAGCTTGGCACGCGGCATTGGAACCACGAATATTTCGGTCACCCGTGTTTGCAGACGGTCTTTTGCACGATGTATGAGCAGTGTGATTCCGGGTTGACGGTTACTTTTGGATAATGCGAGGTTATATTAATTTAACTCTTTGGGATACAATAAGATAATTAAAAGAAGCATCTGGTTTGATCTGTAACTGTGCCCAGTCTGTGGCTTCCAGGAGTCTTGTTCTTCTCCGTGGCTTGCCGCTAGGCCCAGCCGCGCAGGTGGCTGGCGCGTCCGTGTAGACCTTCTGAGAAGCGGACTGTTGTCCCACGTGCCTTGGTCACGTGAGCCATTGAGCGGTGTGCAAGACGAACTTGGAGTGCTTGCCTCCGGTGTTGCAAGATCGTTCTGAGTCCTGACTGTCTTCAATCTCGGCTGAACAAACGTCACTGGAAATCGGAGAGGATGAACTGTTTCGTTTACTGATGCCAAGGGAAGCGGCGAACTTTCTCGAGGTTTTTGCGCACCTGAGAATAGTCTTGATTGTGTAGTCTCAGCTGTTCAATGTGCCATTTCCAGGCACTTCTGTTGTTTGAGCGAAGCTCACATGTTTGGTTCCCTAGAACTCGGGGGACGGTGTTTCTGGGCCATTTCTCGCCGTTCCTCTGGTCTCTTGCCTTGGTGCTTTTGATGCAGGTGTCGTTTTTTAGAATTCCCTGAGGCCTGTTATTTCTTGTCCTGACCGCATTACATTACTTATTCATCGTCTAAGAAGGTCGAACCTTGTGCGAAATCCTTCTCAGGTCAACATTTTGGTTGGTGTAGAGCCAGTTGCCATATACGGGGTCGTCCGGTATGCTACCAAGAAGTTATGGCATGCCTCTTCCACAAATAACTCTGACTTCAGGCTTGCGTTGATACAATTTTTGAATGTTCCCACATACATTTCTGCCGCACCGTTCATTGCGGGGTGTTTCGGGGGTGAGAATGACTGTTGCACTACGTTTCTTGTCATAAAATCCCAGATTTCTCTTGATCGGAATTGCGGGGACGATGTCAATCTCAATTCTTTCTGGAAGTTCGTATCTTGGAAAGAGAGCTAGAAACTCTCGTATGGTGGCGGCCGAAGTCGTCGAGGTCATGGACACTACCTCGGGCCATTTTGAGAAGGCATCAATATCCAGCCAAAACTTCTTTCTTGAACGGGTCCTGCGAAGTCTGCATGCAGGCGTTACTATGTCTTTTTAGTATTCCCACGGGTGTATCGTAACTTTGGGTGCCTCGTTGCTCACTTCCGGGCACGGTCGACAACTCCGGAGCATCGATTCGATGTCATATGATCCAGAAGCGGCCACCACACGTAGTGTAGTGCCAGTCCTTTCATCTTTGTCATCCCCACTTGACCTGGATGCAAGTAGCTTACAACATGCTTTCGTCACCTCTAGGATAAGATGACGCGCGTTAAGAAGTCGAGCACCACGATGAGTTCTGTTTGCAAAAAAAGTAAAAATTGAGGTCGTCGGAATTTTTTTTGTTCCTGCCGTCCTTCCATAATTCCTGCCATCCTTCGTGTCTCTCTGCTGATCTGCTTATGCGTCAGTGAGGGTACTTGAAACTTTCCGAGATGGAGACATTTGATATCGTATATCCGCATAGTTTCTGATTTCGCGGCGCTCTTGTCAGTTATGGGAGTCTTGACAGCATGTCTGCGACCACGTTCATATTTGTTGGCACATATATTATGTCAACGTTATACTCTGAGAAGATGTTCGCCTATCACTACATTCTTGCGTCAGCCATGACTGGGATTCCCCTACTGGGATTGAAAATCGACACAAGGGGATTCTGGTCCACACCCAACGTGAAGTGGCGTTCAAACAGATACTGCTGAAGTTTATTTACACCCTTGAGTAACCTCAACGCTTTGTTGATTTGAGAATAATTCTGCTCACCTTTGGAAAGCTTTCTTGACATGAAGGCGGTCGGCCACCATTGCTTGTTTGGTAGTGCGTGTTGAGGTATTGCACCAATGTCATAGCTCGATGCGTCACAGTGCAGTTCCAGACGAAGGTCAGGATCATAGTGCACTAGCAGACCCTGCTTGGTAAGTTGCTTCTTCGCTTCGTTGAAGGCTCTCTACCATAATCTGAACCGCATCCGCCTTTTATCTTTTCGCAGTAGTTCATGTATTAAATGTAGGATGTCAGCTGTGTTGCTGATGAACTTTTCGTGTTAGTTCAGTAGTCCCAGAAATGCTCTAACCACATTTCGGTCTTTTGGCGTCTTCGCTTGTAGGATCGCGTCCACGTTCTTAGAATTGAGGTGGGTCCCTTGCTTGTCTACGACATGTCCTAGGTATTCAATAGAGTCCTGCGTGAAGCAGCACGTTTTCTTTTTCAAGCGAGGGCCGTTTTTCTCGAGCTTTATGCGGTGCGATGTACAGGTACCGAAGGTGATATTGATTGCTCTTGCCAGTCACCACGATCTCAACCTGAAATGAAGCTGTGCACGGCAAGTTCCCCTCGGCTCACCTGGTACAGCCCTTTGTGTTGTTTATCACGGAACTAGGCTTGTCTGCAATTTAGTTTGGTGAACTTCACAACGAGATCCTCAGTCGTTGGTAGCGGGTAGTGGGTACCTGTTTGGATTCAAGGCTGGACTGAGTGTAACCTTGTAGTCCCCGCATATGCACACTTGTTAATTTTTCTTCATCACTGGAACGATGGGAGTCGCTCATTCACTCCTCATCATAGGAGTGATTATGTGCTCTTTCTCAGGACGATCCTGCTACTCTTCGACCTTTTGTTGGAGAGCGTTTGAAACTGACTTTGGTCTGAGAAACTTTGGCTCGGCATCTTTTCTGCGCATAGTTTCACGGCGTAGACTTTAGCTCTCCCGGACCTTCAAAGATGGAATCGTGTTTCTGTAGCACACTTGTGAGAGTCATGGTTTTATCACGCTTGTTGTATACTTCCTTCCAGTTTACCTAAACGTCCTGAAGCCATCATTCTAAGTATGGAAGGTCCCGCCTTCTTCACCACTTGGATTTCATGACACTTGAATTTACCGTTGTACCGCATGTCCACTTGAACCATTTCCTCCGGTACGATCGGCTTGCCTGTGCTCGGCTTCAGCGTTATTTACGAAGGTTTCAAGTGGATGTCTGGAAGAATTTTTTTGAAAGGTCTTCAGGTTGATCAAAGTACAGGCGGGTCTGTGTCGCTCTCCGTCTAAAGAAATCTGTTACAAATCCCCACAGTTACTGCGATGGGTTTCGGGTAGCTTGAATTGATTAGATAAAACGGACTTTCGTCTCCCGAGTTCTTTGTGTGACATGGTTCGTGATGTGTTTATCTTTCCTTTGATCTTGGAGATCTGGGCCGGCTTGCTAGAAGAAGTGTCTCAGTTAAGACTGCTCAAAGAAAGCGCTGCCAAGGCTCGTGCGCGCGAGCGTCTGAGACTCGGCTTAAGCTCAAGCGCTAGCGTTGACAGCGCTTTCTTTGAGCAGTCTCAACTGAGACTCTGCTTCGAGCAAGCCGGCCCTGGTCTCCAAATGGAAGACCATCTTGATGACCTCGTCTTTCAAATGGCAAACCATTTGAAAGTGTCCTGTTCTTCCACACATTTTACAAGTCTTGTTTCTTGCGAAAGAGTTTTCAGGGTCGTGAATGCTTCTGCCACATCGGTGACATCGGGCAAGATCCACCGCTGCCATGAATGTCAGCGTCTATTAGCGGCGAGAAGTTATGGTGGCGCCCTCCTACAGTTCCCCCTTGTGACGTCATTACCTTGCAAACAACAAGTTTGATGGTGTTTGTAAATAGCATGGTGGAAGCTTGAAATCATTGCGCTCTCAAAAGAACACTGCCAACACCGTCAAAATTAAAGTTCTTTCGTTCCTCTTATTTCCGTCGATGATAAATCCTTTTCCGACGTCATAGTCAGCGTTTGGCCAATCGTGAAAGGCCGACCCCAGCGACGCTTTGGTCGCGCTCGTCGCCAATTCAGCCAGCAGTTTTTCGTGAATCTTCCCATCCTGCCACAATGAGTTCGTGTAGAAGACAGTCGTTGAGGAAAACACGGACGTTTCGTTGCAATGAAAGTTGTTTGAACGCGGCTACGTAGTTTGCAACAGGGGTTTCCCCAGGAATTGAAATTAGGGGGGGGGGGGGGGGGAGTGTC